GAACCCCAAAAAGTTGTATTAAGTTAAGCTAAATGTTCCCCATTTTCACTTGCTTTTTTTTTTTTTTTTGTCCGAACCATGAGGTGGTCCTGGATGGGGCCCAACTATGGATGGCACCTTTAAGCCTTAATCACAACCCAGACTAATCCCCACTCACACCGGGTCGGCCCGTAAGGGGTAAAGTGTTGGCCAAAATAGTGACTCCGTACGAGAGCAGGGATCGAACTCCTGACCTCTCTTAAGGAATGAAAGTGCCGAACCACTCACACCAACCACCTTGGTTACTTGCATTTTTTTTAATTGCATCATTACTTATTACTTTTTACGTACATTTTTCTTAGAATAGTACTTTTACAATATGTTTAAATTAGAATAAACATAAAATAATTTTTTAGAAATAGAAAATATTCAGAATATGCCCATAAGAGTATTTTTAATTAAAGAAAATAAAATATGAACAAAACAAAACTCGATTGGCACACACATGAACAAGTGCCGAGAGGCTAGTATGATATAAGTTTTCAAGCTAATAGTGTGACAAAATTACATATAAAGTCTTCAGCTCTATATAATCAACTTAAATTAGTTAAACTCATCATGCAATGCATTTCCTTCTAATTTTTTGTGATAAAGTAATAGATAATTGACTAGATAAACATCCTCCAAAGTTTCAAGAAATTTTTTCAAGTTTTTCTTACAATTTATGTGGTTTTTATTTAATTTTTATTGATATCGATAATTGCTCGATATTTCCATCGAAATTTCTGTGTTTTCGGACCACCGATATTTTCAAAACTATTGATATTTTAGACCTTGGTTATGAGGAAGGAGAGAGGTAATTCCTAAGCTTGAAAAAGTTGAATTCCAAACTTTAGTTAGAAAAATACAAGAATAGTAAAGTTCTGTGGTGGGAGACTGCATTGATCATTTCTCACCCATAGACTTTGACTTGCAAATAGTGGCTAAGACAATGGTTTGAATTTGAATAGTTTTTGGGTTGCTAAAGATGTAGGGGGGGGTTTGGTTTTAATTGCTTGCTGTCCCGTGACACAACTTTCCCTATTAACTTAGATGCTAGAAGTTCATTTAGTTGATGAATGAAAATGAAAAGTTGACAAATCTAACACCCCGCCACCTGTCCCAAAGCTAGGTCGATCCATGTAAAACATTGCACCAAATTTAATGTTAGATTTTTATTGGGCGGTTGTGGCTGGTGAATTAAGATGTGGGTAGGATTGTACCAATTTTCAATTGCATTTAATCAACATTAGCTTTTCGAAGCAAGCCTTGGCCCTACACTTGTCATGCTTATCTCCTTTTTTATATACAAATAATAGGAATACAGTAACAAGATATTTTATAACGGGTCAATAAACTCACACAAGAAGTTAATACACTCATAACAAAGTGACACTACAACTAAGTATTGAACTTATAATAAATATATATCGTCATCGTTATTCATGTGAGTCGAACCTAAAATCTCCTCCATTCAACTAGAGATATAAATATCACTCGACCAAAAGCTATAGTTGATTCATGCTTATCTCCTTGATGTGGTAGTTGAGGGATCTAAAAGGACCAAAACCCTAATCAGTAATCTCAAACCAGGTGTGCACGATTAAGCTTTTCAGCTCCAAAAAAATAAGATTTGTCGTAAACCCAAGAATTAATTAGACTAAAGAGACTTGATTGTGGTTTAGCTTGAGGCACACTAGGTTGAAAACTTTGCCAATCACATCATTGCGTAGGAAAATCATGAATCAACCCATGTTTTGGTTTACTTTTTCTGTCAGTAACCAATCGCATTTGTTGGTCTGCAATTTACAATCCATTTGTAAGGAGATAATCATTGTACGTTAAATTAAAGTCATTGACTATTATCACAATACTTGTTTATTTATATACCCCGTCCCGTGATAACCCAACTTTGAGGTAAATGAATATTTAACTTGCTTAGCAATGCAAGGGTGGTTAGACTTTTATCATTATATTTTGTTTTTTCATTAAATCCAAGTGTTAAATTGAATGTTGATATTTGCATTTTGATTTGGTTCTTTTTTATTTACAAATACGTTAATATATACATATAGATATAAATGTAATTATGATTTTACTCGTTTGAATGTTGTTGAGTTGATCTTTCGGAGAAGAACTATATATATATGGAAATTTTCAAATACACACAACCTATTTGACTGAACATCCACAAAGCACTCGTTTGAACTTACCACACAATATGATTCACGATCCAAATTGTTTAGTTTTAGGCACGCCTCAAAGATTATGAATAATGGTTTTTTAGGTATATTATCAAATTATCAATCTCAGCCTACATCTTGTATCAACCATTGATCTTGATGAGCACTTGTGTGATCAGCATGAGCTTATGATGTTCTCCCTCCAAACATATAATCTTATTGCAGATGTTCTTGCTAATTATAAGCAACCTGAACTTCGTATCATGGAAAGAACTGCTAAGTTTCTTCATGAGGTTTGGTGTAAAGTTTTATTTGATATATACAATAGAGTTATTTACACAAACACCTCTTTAGGTTTTTGACTTTTTCATAAAATTCCATGAGATTTCAAAAATTACACAAACACCCCATGAGTTTTTAAATTCCTTTCACAAAACTCATTTTTGTTGATTTTTTTAAATCAAAAATTGATGATTTATATATATATAATTCTGCAAATGACAAAGTTGGCCTTTGAGATTAGATTGCACATACATTCATTGAGGTTGATTTTGTTATTTGCACACGTTTAAAAAAAAATCAAGAAGTTTTGGACGAACAATCAACAAAAAGAGATTTTGTGAAAACAATATGAAACTTCAGTGGGTGTTCATGTAATTTCTAAAACTTCAAGGGAGTTCATGAAAAAGCCAAAAATCAGAGGGGGTGTTAGTTAGTGCAAATAAATTTTAATATTTGTTATCAATATCAATACTATAAATTGCAATTTTGATAGGTCCCATAATAACGTATTAAATGTAGTACACATATTTTTCTAAAATAGCCCTCTACGCGAGTAGTAAGTGCTTATTTCGTCATGAAATTGGCTGAAAATCTAGACATAACCTTAAATTATAATGAGTATCATACTACACGAGTCAAATCGACATAACTAAAATCATATAGACCGAAGTACAAAATTCTGTATAAAAAAAAAGGTGACTTTTTACTAAAGATTATTTATATGGACTAGATTATTACATGACTTTAAAAAAAAAAAAAAAATTTGACAGAATATTGGTTAAAAGGGGTACACTACACATACACTACATGCATCAAAATAAGAGAGAGAGGAGTGTGATTACAAAAAGGTGGAGAGAGAGAGAGAGTAAGTATGAAAAGGTTAAAGCCGTGCGATGGCTTTGGCAGCAGTTGCGTGTGAAAAGCAGAAAATTGGTTCAAAAGGCTGAGTAAGGGAGAGAATCAGACACCAAACCCCACTTTATGAAAAGCCGCGTGGCCACGTAAACCCCTCCATTTGTGATTTGTCTTGTCCCTCCCTAGTCTAATGCAACGCAAAGGCGCGTTGCACGACCGTCCACTGAGGAGCGTGGAGTTGGATCCCCCCTTCGCCGTTACAGATAAAAGAGAAAAGTTAAAATGAAATAAAAAGAGATGGAAAAAGGCAGTCAATCGAATGGCATGAGTCGTGAGTCGCGACTCGCGAGAGATAAAGAAAAGGCAGTCAAATCCCGTTCTCATCTCATGAATCAAATCTCTCTCTCTTAAAAAGAAAAAGTGGCTCTCTGTCTCTCTTCATTATGTTTTAATATTGACAAAAGAGTTTTAAAAGGATCAGTACGAATCCATCTTTCTGTTTTTTTTTTCTTTCTAACTATTTGAGTTTTATAGAAAATATTATTGGTGCTCTCTACCAAACTGCCATAAAAACTAGATACATAACCACAACCGATTAAATCGATAAACGTCAAAGATAAGAACATGGTCCATAAGTTGATTATCATAATTGTCAGTAGCATTCCTGTTTCGACTATTACGATTGCTGTAATATAAAATAAATGCTCTCTACCAAATTACCACAATCCACCATTTCATAAGGTGCTATGGGCAATCACATGCAAGGTCCGGTCAGGTCATATAATTTATTTATTTATTTGCAATTTAAGCATTAATTTATTTAACTTTAAACAATTTTTATTTAAAATATTAGTTACGAAATAATATGATAATAACTTTCTCACTAAAGTTATATGATATCAGAGGGATTCAAATATAAATAAATGAAAGACCATTGGAGTAGTTGAGATTAGACACGTTAAAATGTAGTCTAGTGCCAATCGAGAATAGCTAAGTTGGTTGAACTTTTTTGGTAAATATTCGAAATTCTCAGACACATAATGAATATTTGTGTAAACCACCCTCCTTTAATCGCTTGTACTAAAGAAAATGTAGTCTGGTGATATTTATCTTCTCATTATTGAAGTCTCCAAATTCGATTTTTCCATATTATTGATTAAAAACAAAACTCCACTTTAGCATATGTAGATGGTAGGATTACACGAATTCAATTTACTAAAATTGTAATAGAAAATATGTTTTCCTAAGATTTGTCTGAAACAAACTGTTAGAATGAACATCATCCCCTCAAAAAACTTATAAAAAAAAACATATGCAACAAAAATGTGAATTAATCAATTGAAAAAAAAAACAGAAGATGACATACAAAAATGAGATCACACATTGCTGTGCTAACAGAGCATTTTCCAGAAATCCTTGAAAACTGTTGGTACTTCCAAGTTCCCAACTCTCTATTTTCCTGAAATTCTTTCTCACCCACTATTCCATAAGGGAACCCAAAAAAAGCAAAATCAATTTTCTCTACTTGGGTTAGTTTGTTGTCATGCAGCCCTGTAATATTTGAAAGGGTTGGGTCCATTTTTACCCGGTCTCTGTTTTTTCTTTTCTTTAGCCATTTCTTTTTTTGTTTTTTTTAATAAATGTTACTGATTCAAATAGATAGAGATAGAAAACGGAAAAAGGGAGAGAGAGAGTGGGAAAGGAAGAGAAATAAGGGAGGTTCTTGTGAAGGAGGGGATCTGATCTTTCCTTTTCGCGTTGAATTCTCTTATAGCTTTTTTGTGTGACAACACACATATACACACACTTGGTGAGAGAGAAAGCAAAAGAAAGGAGGAAAAGGAGAAGAAGAAGAAGAAGAAAGAAAGAAACAGGATAGATAGAGAGATCCCTTTCGGCTTAGGAAAACTAATAAGGGAGCTATTGCTTTCCTTGATATTTTGTTTGTGTTTGTAAAAAGCTATTTTTGTAGATTGGTTTTCTTTCACAGCCCTGAAAATGCAAATTTGTCCAATTTGATGAAGCATCCACACCTGGACCTGTGAAACCATTTTCATTTGCCGCTGTCTGGTGGGGCACTCTCCCTCTCTCTCTCTCTCTCTCTCTCTCTCTCTCTCTCTCTCTCAGTTTCCTGATAAGCTTGAATTTTACAGCACAAGTCTCCAAAGAACAGAAAAACCCAACCCAACAAAAATAGGCAGCAAAAAACAGAACCAAACCAAAGCTTTGAAGCTGCTTCATTTGAGCGTTTGCTACTCAAAACCCAACTCAAAAAACCCATATAAAATTGAATTATTTGGATTTGGAATTCTTGGTGGTTAGTTTGAATTCCAAGAAATGAGAGCGGGGTTGAGTACGATCCAGCAAACCTTAACCCCAGAGGCGGCGAGCGTGTTGAACCACTCGATCGCCGAAGCGGGTCGACGGAACCACGGACAAACGACGCCGCTACACGTGGCCGCAACCCTTTTGTCCTCGTCCACCGGCTTCCTCCGTCAAGCATGCATCAAATCTCACCCCAATTCCTCTCACCCTCTACAGTGCAGAGCTCTCGAGCTCTGCTTCAGTGTGGCGCTCGAGCGCTTGCCCACCGCCCAAAACATGAGCCCCGGCATGGAGCCCCCTATCTCCAATGCTCTCATGGCCGCCTTGAAGCGAGCTCAGGCTCATCAGCGCAGAGGCTGCCCAGAGCAGCAGCAGCAGCCTCTCTTAGCTGTCAAAGTTGAGCTCGAGCAGCTCATAATCTCAATTCTCGATGACCCAAGTGTGAGCCGAGTGATGCGTGAGGCTAGTTTTTCTAGCCCCGCCGTTAAAGCCACTATTGAACAATCGCTCAACTCTTCAGCCGCCGCCGCCTCCTCTGCTGCCGTCAATTCCTCCCCAATTGGATTGGGATTCCGCCCTGGCGGCCCTCCCGCAGCGCCCCCTGGGAGCCGGAATTTGTATTTGAATCCGAGGCTGCAGCCGCAGGGGGCTGCTGCTGCGCAATCCGCACAACACAGAGGAGAGGAGGTTAAGAGGGTTGGTGATATATTGTTGAAAGCGAAGAAGAGGAACCCTGTGTTAGTCGGCGATTCGGAGCCCGAGGCGGTGACGAAAGAGGTCTTGAGGAGGATTGAGAACAGGGAATTGGGTGAAGGGCCCCTGAAGAATGTTGAGGTTGTTCATTTGGAGAAGGAGGTTTCTTTGGATAGGAACCAGATAGTTGGGAAAATGAAGGAATTAGGGGGCTTGGTTGAGACCCGGATGGCGAATTCGAATGGGGGTGGGGTGATTCTTAATTTGGGTGACTTGAAATGGCTGGTGGAACAGCCTGGCAGCTTTGGAGGGGTTTCAGGTTCAGGTTCTGGTTCAGGTCCGGTCCAGCAGCAGGTGATTTCGGAGGCGGGGCGGGCGGCGGTGGTCGAAATGGGAAGGCTATTGGCCAGGTTTGGAGAGGGTGGTGGTAATGGTGGCCGGCTTTGGTTAATCGGAACTGCTACTTGTGAGACTTATTTGAGGTGCCAAGTCTATCACCCTTCAATGGAAACTGATTGGGATCTACAGGCAGTGCCAATTGCTGCCAGAACGCCTCTTTCAGGATTGTTTCCAAGGTATGCTTGGTGTTCTTATTCATTTGAATTAGAGAAACTACATTCCATAACAAGATATACCTGTGACCATGGAACTTGGTTCTCCTTTTCTTGTCTGCACATTTTTGTATTTGTCTGGCTTCAATGACTTAAGTTACATGAGCTACACGACTAATTAGGAAGGTTTTGGTTGATTAGTTCTTTCACGTTTGATGGACGATGTTATCAAGAGTTTCTGTTTATGGAATCTTGAACACTGCTCATTTAGAATAATCTTCTGCGAAAAGTTGTTTATGTTCCAAAGTTTTAGATTTTGTGTGAGCTCAGAGACTTGCTTGATTTGGAGAATTTGGATAACTGATGGAATCTTTAATTATATTTGATATTGGGGCAGGCCTAGTTCTAGTTTCAATTTGAAGTTGTTTGAATCACACTTGGATAGCATCTTGGATGCTCTTCAACCTATTAGGTCTTTTTTTTGGGGAACGCTTCTTTACCCTTTTCTTCGAGTTTTGTAGTATTTTTGTAATATATCTTCTTTTTTAGGATTGGGACGACCAACGGGATCCTCAGTAGCTCAGTTGAATCTTTGTCCCCATTGAAAAGCTTTCCAACTACATCAATTGCTCAACCAAGACTTCTCTCTGAGAACTTGGATCCTACTCGAAGAGCAAGCTTTTGTCCACAATGTACACAGAGTTATGAGCAAGAACTTGCAAAACTGGTTGCCAAGGAGTCTGAGAAATCATCTTCTGAGAATTCATCAGAAGCAGCACAACCACCACTACCACAGTGGTTACAGAATGCTAAAGCCCGTGATGGTCATGCCAAAACATTAGATCAAACGCAGGTGAGTTGAGCAAGCTCAAATTGCTCCAAAAGTTCTTGTTCTTTCTTTTTCGTTTTTTCCTCTTGGTGGTAATAGACTTTACTACATAGGAACTAATGAATTTTTCATTTTTCTCTTCATAGACTAAAGACCAAGATCTGATCCTGAAGCAGAAGACTCAAGAACTACAGAAAGAATGGAGGGATACATGTGTGCGTCTTCATCCTAGTTTTCATCAGCATAGTTTCACCTCAGATAGAATTGCTCCAACAGCTCTCTCAATGACGGGCTTGTACAATCCACACTTACTTGCTCGCCAACCTTTCCAACCCAAATCACATCTGAATAAAAACCTTGGGGCTCTGCACTTGAACACAAATCCGCTGACCAGCCAACCATCTGAACGGGCAGTTTCCCAACCTGGAAGCCCTGTACGGACAGAGCTGGTTCTTGGGCAAACAGAAATCACAGAAACCACCCCTGACCAAGCACATAAAGAGCGCATCAGAGACTTTTTGGGTTGCATGCCTTCTGAACCACAGAGCAAGCCAATTGAATTGCAAACTGATGATAAACAATCGTGTCAAGTAGATGCTGACTCATTCAAAAAGCTTTACAAAGGTTTAATGGAGGTGTGGTGGCAGCAAGAAGCAGCAAATGCTGTTGCTGAAACTGTGACAAAATGCAAGTCGGGCAATGGAAGGAGACGTGGTGCCGGATCACGGGGAGACATGTGGCTACTGTTCATGGGCCCGGACAGTGTTGGCAAGAAGAAGATGGCATCAGCTCTTTCAGAACTAGTATCCAGGTCCAACCCAGTGATGATAAGTCTTGGCTCCCAACGCGGTAATTTGCAGTCTGATATGAGTTTCCGCGGTAAAACAGTGGTGGACCGAATAGCAGAGGCAGTTAAGGGGAACCCCTGTGCAGTAATCATGCTTGAGGACATTAATGAAGCAGATGTGATAGTTCGTGGTAGCATAAAACGGGCAATGGATAGAGGTCGTCTTACTGACTCTTATGGTCGTGAAATCAGTCTTGGAAATGTTATTTTCATCCTCACAGCAAATTGGTTGCCAGAACATCTGAGACCCTTATCGAAGGGTAATTCGCTTGAAGAAAAGCTTGCCAGTATAGCAAGGAGCAGTTGGCAGTTAAAGCTATCTGTTTGTGGAAGGACTGCAAAACGACGGCCCAATTGGTTACAGGATGATGACAGAGCCACGAAACCTAGGAAGGAGACAGGTTCAGCTTTAGGGTTTGATCTGAATGAAGCTGCTGATGCTGAGGATGACAGGGCAGATGGCTCACATAATTCAAGTGATCTCACAGTTGATCATGAAGATGACAGTCGCCTCAATAGCAGGCCCTTACTCACAGTCACAACCGCAGCAGTACCCCGGGAATTGCTGGACACTGTTGATGATGCCATTGCGTTCAAGCCAGTGGACTTCAACCCCATTCGGCTAAACATCATAAACTCCATCAGAAAAAGATTTTCAAAGATTTTGGGTGAGGGGGTTTCATTAGAATTGAGAGAGGATGCTGTTGAAAAGATCTTAAGTGGGATATGGCTAGGCCGGACTGGCTTAGAGGAATGGGCAGAAAAGGTTGTCGTTCCAAGCCTCCAGCAGCTCAAGTCCTGCCTTGGCGGCACCAACAGTGTGTCGGCCGGCGAGTCCATGGTTGTTCGGCTTGAATCTGACGGCAATTCAGATTGCCGGGGCCCTGGTGATTGCCTTCCCAGTAGTATCAATGTGGCTGTGGTGCCTGATGGGTTGAGACAACAATGATGTGGGGATATAGTTGGTATTTTGTCACATTGTAAATATGGTAAACGGTGTGGCGGGTAGTCAAAGACATTTGGGAGGGTAAGCGTTAGACGAGGGAAACGTTGGATATATTGGCAAAACCTTCCTTGTCCTTTTTTTCTTTTTTCTTTTTCTTAAAATTTTCATTACTATTTTTTCTTTTAATTTTTCTCATGTTTTTCATCCCCTAAAGTTTATAGTATCTTATAATTATAAATATTTATCAATTACATGGACATTGATTAATAAGATGAGGCATTCCTCTCAATTTTCTCTCTCACAAAGTCTACGTTTTATCAGTTTTTGTTAGTTCTCTAATTTGGCTCCTTATTTTCCCTCTATTATGCGAAAACATATATTGCTAAGACATGAATGGGTGACTATAGTGTGGTATTAGAGTAGAGTCACTTAGTATAACTCGTTTATGTACTATAATATAAATGGATATTTATCGATATACTCTAAAAGTGAGAAATGTCAGTCGTGTCATCTGCCTATATTATAACTCGTGAAGAGAGTCGTATTCTAATACTATACAATAATTTCGTGATTTAGAACAGAATCCAGCTTCTACCATTTCTCAATATATCTGCTTGTAAAAGTATGAATCGGCAGTATCCTACACGCATGTAAATTATGCACATAAAAATGCCATGGCATTGGCATGCATACATAAACATAAGCTTATAGGCTAGACGGCATGAAGAAGGTGACCCTATGGACCAAAATCAACAACAGACAATGGCTCTCTCTCTCTCTCTCTCTGAATTTTGTATGATTTTTATAAATATTTAATTTGAAACCGTCAATAAGACACTCGGTGTCTTGATTGAGAATGATGTCTCTACCTTTGTTTTCATTCACTTAAACTCAGCACAGCTTTTAAAAGATAAGGCCAACCTCTCTCTCTCTCTCTCTCTCTCCATATTTTTTTGTCTTTGCTGTGGTCTGAAAGGCCAAGAGGAGCGTCTTCTTCCATAGTTTGAGCGCAAAGCCATTAATGTCATAATGTCATAATGTCATAATGTGAGAGTGTGACAAGGGGAGGAGAGGGAAAAGCGAAATTACTAAGAAGACAAAAAGTGGAGGCTTCACGTCTACTCCAAATTCAACTCATATATATATATATATATATACATACTCATGAGTTCATATAAACCCTACATGCATCATGTATGCGTGTGTTCTCATTTAGTACCCACGTGGCCCACTCATCTCTCTTTCTTAAACCCTACCCTTTCTCCAATTATGCATCTCCACATCATGCAAACTTTGAGTTTTTTCTTTTGCTCCTTCTTACATCTATATATAAAGTCAATTTTGCAATAAAGACGTACAGCCTGAAAATTTGTCTAACTTAACAAGGATAAGAAACGAATATTGTCTTCAGACCCAAACAAAAAAAAAACCAAGAAAAAAAAGGAATATTGTCAAATATGTCTCTAACAATAATCTTGTGCTTGTCAAAAAATAAAAAGTAAAAAATTTCCGATGTCGAACTGATTACGCAAACTTATAATTAAGCACGAAATTAAAGTGAATTAAGGTCAAAATATAGGGGTTAATGCTTTCACGACTTCAGTTTATGGTGAACTCACACTGGGAACGGCCTTACTAAATGAGATAATAGGAGTAACTCGTCAATTGTGGGTGGGTAACCAAATCGGTGGAGTAGATAATATTATGTATTTCTATATGTTGGGAGGGAGAATCGAAACTTGAAACTTTCTTTAACATTGTGGAAGAGGAATATTACAAGACCAATTACTAGTCGGCCAGTGTGGTAGGCAAAATTAAAAAAGAAAAAATTTGGGCAATTTAGATTCTCACTTTCTTAATGAACAAAAGCCACACCTTTGGTAAAATAACTTTCTTGTGCAAGGATTGATTTCGAATATTGTGGGTAAGAAAAGCAGTGGCAACATATATGACACACAAAAAAAAGTGTTCTTATCATGGTTGAAACAAACAAATGCAATCTCATCGGCGCCAACCATGCATGTGTTCATAAGGACAAATCATATTACTTCAGATTGGCATTTTTTTATCAAGATTATTCTGACCATATATCAGACATGTATGGTCCAAAATTATAGACATCATGATGTATAATTTTGAAATAAAGATTGTTAATTAATAACAAATTGGAATGATAATAACAATTAATAAAAGATTGTTAATTATTATACTCTTTAACAAAGAATTTGGAAGTGAGATGTCGGTCAAGCACAAGGAAACAAAGGGCTAGTTTGGGGATTAAATTAAAGTAGAGAGAGAGAGAGAGGGAGAGAGAGAGAGAGGGAGATAACGTCGTCGTGTTGCAGAATGCAAGAAACGAGAATATACTTGATCACAATTGGAAAGCTGCACTTGTTTTGTCTATATGCAGAAAAAGTAGATGATAAAAAAATAAAAAAGGTAGCTGGGTGGCGTTCTCTTCTCTTCTCCAAACCCACATATACCTTTACACCTTTATGCTTGTGTCCCTTCTTCATGTCACATCAGCCTTTTTAGACTGAAAACAAAATACCCAACTACTCTCCCCTCTCTTTCCCCACCTCCTCTGCTAGACTGCTACACCAGATAATTACTTTTTTTTTTCTCTATTATTGTATTATTTTATTTTATTGTACTTATGGAATCCAAAATCAGATTAATTAAATTCATCGAAATTATACAGGTGTGAGTTAAGTCGGTTGGTATCAACAGTATACGCGTCCCTTTCACCCGAGTTTAACCCTCTCCCTGTAAACTACAAAAAAATCTGCTTGAAAGATCAAACTAAGCGACACCATTCCAAATGTCACCCATGTGGGCAAACTCAAAAACAAAACCTAAAAACATAAAAACATTCATGCACGCATGTGTTCTGGCATTTTGATGTAATTAATTGGAGGTTTGCAGCAGTTGATAAGGCGTCCCCTGATGTCCTCAAAGAGACTTGATATTATTTGTTTGGTGTGCGGATGCAATATGCTTCTTTCTATGTCCAATAGTTCATCTTATTGTTGAAAAGTAGCAACCAAAAATTACCCTTTTCTTTTCTTCCCTATTTCTCTCCACATTTTCCTCCCACTTTTGACTTGCTATTAACCACTCGTTAAAGAGAATATATTTGTTGAACAAAATTGCTACTTCTGCGGAAGAGTTGTATAAAAATGTGGTAAGAATAGCAGTATTAAAACTTGTTTTATAAGCTAATATGGTAAGAATTTGCATTATTGAAACTTGTTTTATAAGCTAATGTGGTAGCAGGTATGACATGCTACACATAAAAAAATCTCTTATGCAGATATCTGGACGTTATTATGGTGCGGACTGATTATTAAATTACTTTGATGCCCTATTGAGTGTTTTGGGGTTGAGTTTGCTTTAAGAAATCAATGGTAGTTTTGTAATTTAAAAGAAGTTAAAAGCCTTTTTGTTATGTTGTAAATAGACTTTGGGTGTGTTTTTAAAGTCCATTTCATATAGGGTTTTTTTTATATAATTTTGGCTCATATATTGGTATAATAGTGAATCTCCCAAAAAATTTAGACAATATGACCCAAAAATAATTAGAAACCAAATAAGATTATATATATATATATATATATATATATATATATATATATATATATATATATATATATATATATATATATATATATATATATATATATATATATATATATATATATATATATATATATATATATATATATATATATATATATATATATATATATATATATATATATATATATATATATATATATATATATATATATATATATATATATATATATATATATATATATATATATATATATATATATATATATATATATATATATATATATATATATATATATATATATATATATATATATATATATATATATATATATATATATATATATATATATATATATATATATATATATATATATATATATATATATATATATATATATATATATATATATATATATATATATATATATATATATATATATATATATATATATATATATATATATATATATATATATATATATATATATATATATATATATATATATATATATATATATATATATATATATATATATATATATATATATATATATATATATATATATATATATATATATATATATATATATATATATATATATATATATATCCTATAAAAGGCATTAAATTCCCAATGGGATTCTATCTACACCACAATCCTCTCAAACCCACTCTAGGTCTCACACATACACCTATAAAGATATATCAAGTGACGTTTATTCACCACAAAAATAAAATATTCTTAAAATGTGAATATCCAACTCAAAATAAATTAACAATAACTGAAAAAGTCAAAAATCTATTAAACAACTATGCAAGAATTCTCATTTTCCAGCTTCGAATAATACTATACTATCAACACTTGTTCACATGCATGACTCAAAATTTTCGGCAACTATAATTTGACTTGGAAATTTGAATCTAGAATCTTGTGCTCATCCTACCTACTGTATAAAAAGGAAGTTGATGTTCCACCTCAAAATCAATTGGAAATGGAGGAATAGCTCAACTCCTTATAAATCATTGCAATGTTTTCTAACTTTCTAATGTATGACATTTTCACATTCACATTCTTGCATATATATGCAGTTGATGAAGAACGATAAAAGAAAACGAATGCAATCCTTTTTATTATATGTTTTAAGAAAGAGAATCTGTTTAATCCTTTTCATTATATGTTTTAAGAACGAGAATCTGTTTCAGGACGTATGAACTACAAGTGTGTTCTGAGAACTCTCATATACAAATACAGTTTGATCTGTTTTCTTCCTTCTACGGAAAGGTTCCAATGCAACCCAATCACAACTAAAAGTCATCTTATGCATTACTTACTTAACCAACACCACCATGTGCATACTATTTTATTGAATCTATTCTACTCCAAAAATACGGAATACTAGAAAAAATATATATATTAAGATTAAAAACAATAATCAGATAATTACTTCGTAAGTGATCTAAGAAGGAAAGAATAATCGACAAAGACTCAAGATCGATTCTGGTTCTAGTATGATCATACTTAATTGTCCACAATCATGAGAGATGACCCAAATCAAGAAATGATCATAATAACGAAGTTATTCTGTCACATGACATAAACAACCTTG